AGAAAAGAGAAAAAGAAAAATGACACCTCCCCTGAAAAAAGCAAAACAAAACATAAAATTAAAGAAAAGAGAAACCTCACATCTAAATTATATTTTAATTCTAATTCTTTATATAAAAAAACACTTAGAGAAAAAGGTTATATCAGTCAATTCAAATTATATAACTTGCTTTAATTTCAACATTATGACCCAGTTTTTAAAATACTAAGTTAAACCTAGTCTGTACAGCACTTGCCTCCCCTTCTGTTCAGACCCATGTCCAGCTTAGTTAAGTTGATTTACCTTGTCTGGATTTGGCTCCTGAGCAGGATTGGTCCTTGGTCCTTCGATAGGAATTGACCTTAAAAGACCAGGACTATGGGCTAAACTAGGAAGTCAAAAAGAGCATGCTGGAAGGCAGTGGCAAACCACTTTGGCATTACTGCCCATGTGGCTATAAAATCCAAAGGAGCCAGTGTGACTTAAAAGAAACTCAACTTTTGCTATAACTGATGAAACACTGTTGCCATACAGATGTTGAATAAATTCATGTTTTATTTTATAAATTGTTGTCTGTTTTATTTTAACTTGAAGAAAGGATTGTGAGTAACTTGATTTCACCTACGACCTTCCGTGTCTACTCACAATATTACCAGAAAAATTAAAAGTATTTGAAATAACTAACATTGTGGTCCTAGTAAAGTTAGAATTTTCAAAAGATTTGAATCAGCCATCTACAATCTGAGAGTTTTTCGATATCTCAGATTATCTTTAGAAATGTAGAATAAAATTACCTAAATCCTTGCCACTAAGAGATCTCATTTTGATGCTGGTGGCATGATGGGAATTGTTGCTTGGTTGATTTAACAAGATGAATCCCTTAAAACAGGACAGTGTTTTTCTGTCCTTGCTGAAGGAAGCCTCTGCTCTTCCTATGCATGCTACTTTACCAATTACTAGAGTAAACATTAGTGTGCCAGGATGACATCTTAGCTTGCTAGAAAAATAACCCAAAAAATCAAAATAGTTCCAAAGCAGAGAGTTGTATTTTTGAAGAAAAGGTTTCTTTTTACTGTAAGGGATTGATATCCTTGCATTAAAAAGCTGTATATTGTCTAACCAAGGAGACCAGCATGCTTGGGACACAGAGTCTCTTCACAAGCTGAAAGATTATACAACTGAGGTGGGAAGGTGAGGAGAGAAGTATGTTTATGCCACCCCATCTGAGAGTATTATTTAGTTTTGGAGTGGGACATACTGAATTTTTTCATCTTTCTTTGTTTGTGTATATGTATGTGAGAAAGTGTGAGTGAAACTTGCTAATTTGAGCAAGAGATACATGGATACAAGAGATAGTTTTGCTAGTCAGATAATATGTGTGTCACAAAAGCCTTGCTTGCTTCCAGTAAAAATGAATGTAGGAGCACCCTATCTGAGTAAAGCTTTAAATAAGGGACAAATTAGTCAGAAAAAATTTTTGTTTGACAAGGGCTTTTCAATGCTTTAAGCAAAGCTTCAGTAGCACTCCTATATATGGTATATGGTGGGGATCAGGAAAAAAAGACAAATATTTAAAAAGTTCCCAAAATAGCATAGGCTTGGGAATAAAGAGTATGTTGCTTATTTCAACACTCGTTGGCATTGCTCAGAAGGTGCCCCAGAGGGGAATAAAAAGGAGAGATTAGCCCTAAAACTGGGGTAAAAAAAAAAGAGGGATTCTAAAGTGCCAGTTAAAAATATTTTGAAATAATGTTCCTTTATCAAGAGGGTTCTAAAAATAAATTAATACAGAAAAATCCACCAGTAAATATGCAGTACATATGCAAAACACATTATGTGTTACCAATCTTACATTCAGACTTAAAAATTAATGTGAAAGCAAACTTTAAGTTGCTTCTTATATCTTCCAGTTTGGAAGAAATCCATAGAATCATATGTTAGAGAGAAAGAACATAGTAGCTGTATCTACAAAGAACTATAAGCCAAAATTCTTCTGTCATGCTCACAAACTCTGTACAATCGTATAAAGAGCCTTTACTAATCTCTTTGGATGGAATTGACCTAAGCCACATAGAATCTGTCATCTAAACCAAGCAAGCAGACTTTGTTAGAACAGAAGACATACAAAATGGATATTCATCAGACTTTATCCAACGCTATTGCCGGCAACGAGCACCACGGCTTGTTGACAACAGAACGACGACTACCACCTGGGTGACACTTCCGTACGTTAATGGAGTTTCAGAGGCAGCTGCATGAATACTCTTGACTCACAACATTAAAGTAGCACACAAACCTAGCCAGACCCTGTGCACAAGAATAATGTGCCCCAAGGAACCCCTACCCGAAGACGATATGTCATCTGTGGTCTACCAAATCAATTATAATGACTGTTCATGCAATTATATTGGAGAAATCACAAAATGCCTCCAGACAAGGGTCCATGAGCACAACATGGCTATCAAGTGCAACGAACAACGATCCCAGGTATGGATGCATATGGTTGAGGATAACCATACATTCAACTTTGCAGAGGCCAGAGTCATTGCCCATGACTCAACGAAAGGCGGCCACCTGCTGAAGGAAGCCTGGATATCTAATCAACATGCTATTAACCGACACATCAAACTGTTGCTGGCTTACCAGCCGTTGCGGCAACATGAATCATCGTGCAGAGGGCCAGAATGGATGAATCAGCGATCACTTCTCTCCCATGTAAACAAGAGAGCGAAAGACCACGATCGCACACCAACTGATATATTGGCGCGGCAGGGGACTACGTTGATGGGACGCATGGAAGAGCAGACCGGACTTACAAACTCCAGGAGAGGACATCAAATTAACATGACCAATGATACTGGCACAGCGGAGAGATTACGAGCTGGAACAATGGCGCTGCATGTGGAGGACATATCCAGGCAATTTAGCGGGGAGAACAGTCAGGCGGCAACATTAGATGATCACGCACCGCAAGACGAATGTTCTCGACAGGCGGGGCAAATGGGGAGAGTAAAATTCAAACGGATGTCAGCCTGAACGATGGAAACAGGATCAATGCAGCCAATTGTGGACGGGCAGGGGATGGACAGACCTATGACACGCTCATTGTCCAAATTGCTAGCTTCTCAAAGACTATAAAGATGAGCATTGCCAGATCCTGGCTTATACTTTGACAATGTCAGCAGTCACTGATGAAAGCTAAGTTTTAATAAAGTTTTCTAGTCTCGGTGAAAGATGCAGTGGTGCCAAGTGAAAGCAACATCAGGAAGGAGGAGTATAAAAAGCTGCAGAAATATCAGGGCCTGAAGGACAAACTAGAGAGAAAGTGGTCCCAGTGATAGTAGGATCACTTGGAACTGTGATTTCTAAAATGGGAGAATGGCTCCAATAAATCCCAGGAACAACATCGAAGCTCTCTGTCCAGAAAAGCACAATGCTAGGAACAGCTAAGATAATTTGCAGAACCCTCAAGCTCCCTAGAATAGCAAACTTCATGACTATAGTTTTCATAGTGGATAGCATAAATTGGCAGTGAAGGAAGACCCTGTGGAATAGAGATCTCATTCTTTTAAATCTGTTTGTGCTCATAGTGAATGCTACATATCAACTGTTGTAGATATACTGTTTGGTCTCTTGATTAATTTTGAGAAGATAAATAGGTTGGACCCAGCTAAATAGAGATAGAAGGGACCATTAGGAAGTCCTATACTGGATGGTCAAAACAAGAAGACAGTAGCAACTAATTCTCATCATTTCCAAGAAAACTACATGGTTTGTGTTCATGACACCAGCAGGAGTCAAGATAGATATGAAAAGAGAGCTTATTTTTGCACTATCAACAATGAATAAATGTTGTTGTTTTTGAAAAGGACCACATTATATATTGTAAACAAATGTATATCATTTATTTATTTAACAATATCTATGTACCTTCCAAATTTAAATGATTCTGGGCTGTATAAATAATATCACAAACCATTGCAACTAAATCATAACCACATCAATTAAAATGATGCCCACATTCCTCACTAAAGAACAAAAACTGCTGAAACAAAAATGTTTTTAGTGCCTTATAAAAAGCCAAAAGGGTTAGTTCCGAATGTCCCTCAAATGCAGTATGTTCCTTACAGAGGGCGCTATTACAGAAAAGGTCTCTCTTTCAGCCTTCCCACTCACTTTCATTCCCTAGCTAGGATAAACAAGATCATGTTCATCATGGCAGCCCCTAATACAGGCATGTCAAACTCACGACGTCACGTGACATCACGTGACGTATCGGAGCTTTTTCTCCATTGCCAGCAATGGGGTGGGTGTGGTTTTGGGATGACGCGTCCGGCCTGCAGGCTGGCAGTTTGACACCCCTGCCCTAATATGTCCTAGTGCAACAACATATAAAGCTTTATAGATAATATCCAGACTTTGAAATGGGCCAGATTTGGGTTTCCTAAATGCAGGTTGTCACATAATTGTAATAATGTAGTGCCAAGTGAAGTGGGCGGGAGGGCTGAAAGGAATGTCTGCATAAAGAACTTAATTTATGTTGGCATATTCCCTCATTGTTCTCATTTATAGTGAAGATCCATAATATCAATAAAATTGCATGTGGAAATTTTAAAAAAGTTTTTCAGAATTTTCAGAATATTACAGCTTTTAAATTTTTGGCTACAGCTGACAACAATCTAAAAACTATATAATTGAAATTATGCCAATTGCTTTTTTAAAATTAATATTTTTCTCTTAAACTAATTCAGTTAGGATATGATTTCCATAAACTTCAGTTCATAACTTGCATAATGTAGTTAGTTGCTTTCTTTCAGTCCTAAAATACATTTAGAGTAAAGTTGGTAAATTCTAAACACAAGACTGCTGATCACATCCATCTGAAACTGAAACACCTGCAATAGTTAACATGCCAGTAGAAGAGGCTAAGACTTTTAAAAGGTCAAAGAGAAACGTGGATTTTAAAATCAATATCCACTTTGCATGCTTTATCGAATAACTAAATATGGACTTTTTTTCAGATGGGAAAATAAATTGGCCTTTAAACAAATGCAATACTATGCTGTCATCGAAGAGGATAATAGCCCTCCTGTAAGTATGACATACATAAATATGGTGTACAAAGCCGCATATACTATAAGAAACAACATGTTCTGAAACTCTGGAAAATTTTATTTATGAACCATATCAAATCACATAATCTTGATAGGCGTTAATATTCAGAACTCCAGTTGTTGTGGAGGATTTTGTTTGCTTGCTTTAACATTTTGAGTTGAAATCTTACTGCAAGTGTTATTCCTCCAGCTGTCACAGACTCATAGATTAAAAGCAAAGTCATGGAGATATTACATACAATTTTGAATCAGCTTAGTTCTGGCATCAAAATAAAATGCAACTTATGATTGGGAAAGCAAGATAATTTTGTGTGTTTCCCTTTTCACCTCCTGTGATCACTTTCATTTTAGATTAGTCTCAGTTTGTCATGGCACCTAAATTCAGACTGGTTAGTTTTACCTTTAGTTGCAAAAACAGATCAATTTTAAGTTATTTTGGATTCCTGTCACAGAGCGAGATCAGTTGGCTTAATATATAACTAAGGTATTTATGTTTGTGATATAGCAACTTTGAGGTTCATGTTTTATTTGTCATGTTTGCTTTCTTTATTGACTTAAAAATATCTACTAATTGTGTACTGTTAACATCACCAATAAAGCGTTAATGTTATCTTTAATTATTTAATTCATTGACTGATAAAATGAGCAGTAAAATGATTGTTGTGTGAAATCAAATTTCAACTGGCCTTTTCTTTTTTTAATTTTAGCACGCTAACATCATAAGGGCTGCAAAAAGACCAAATCCCTGTTCCCTTTGAATGCTTCAAGCAGTTTAAAGAAGTGGCTTCCTCATGACAACATGTCAGCGAAAGATCTCAGCCCTCGACATAGTTCAAAATCCCGTGTTGTGCAGCGGGCCTCCACTGTTGATGTTGCCTCTGATTTGTCAGGTTTATCTTTGACAGGTGATTATCTGTTCCCCACCTCTGCTTTTCCAGTATTAATTATTAAGACTCTTTCTTAGGGCCAATACTCTTCAATATCTTCATCAATGATTTAGATGAGAGGATATAAGGGGAACTCATCAGATATGCAGACCACACCAAACTGGCTGGAATAGCCAGCATTCTAGAAGATAGGCTTAAGATACAGAGTGATCTTAAGAGACTTGAACATTGGGCCCTGTCTAACAAAATGAATGTCAGGGTTCCAACTAACGATCCCAAACAAAACAGAACTCTGAGGCTTGAAGTTTCTTCAAAGAATGTGTGTATTGGATATATTATATTGGCACGTTCAAAAGTGAAACCAACTCTAAATATTTCTTACATTCAGTGTAATTAATTGTAACAATTACCTTCCTTCCAAATGTCATAAATCACACTGTCCAATTGGGGCAATCAGCAAGCTCCTTATCATTCCATCCTTCTTCCTCTTTCTTCTTCCTTCCTGTGGAAATGACCTTCGTTCCCATGGGATCGCTCTGTGTTGTTTCTGGCAATACATCCAGCCTCATTCCCCCTCGCCCCCATTTGTATGGCAATTATGAACAAAAGAAAATGGCTTCTGCCAGGTTCGTTTCTGAAGTTGACAATGAAATTCAATGGTGAAAAAAGTAAGGTTCTACATTTAGGCAAGAAAAACCAATCCATATGTATAGTAGTTGATACCTGGCTCAATAGTAGTAATTGTGAGAGGGATCTTGGAGTCTTAGTGGACAATTATTTAACTATGAGCCAGCAGTGTGCTGTAGCTGCCAAAGGCCAACACAGTCCTAGGCTGTATTAATAGAGGGATAGAATCAAGATCACATGAAATGTTAATACCACTTTATAATGCCTTAGTAAAGCCACACTTGGAATACTGCATCCAGTTTTTGTCACCACAATGTAAAAAAGATGTTGAAAGTCTAAAAAGAATGCAAAGAAGAGCAACAAAGATGATTAGAGAACTGGAGGCTAAAACATATAAAGAACAGTTGCTGGAATTGGGTATGTCTAGTTCAATGAAAAGGGCGTGGGTGTCATTATAGCAGTGTTTCAGTATTTGAGGGACGGCCACAAAGAAGAGGGAGTCAAGCTATTCTCCAAAGCACCTGAAGGCAGGACAAGAAGCAATGGATGGAAACTAATCAAGAAGAGAAACAACCTAGAACTAAGGAGAAATTTCCTGATAGTTAAAACAATCAGTGGAACAACCTGCCTCCAGAAGCTGTGAATGCTCCAATACTGGAAGTTTTTAAGAATAGAATTGGGCAACCATTTGGTATAGGGTTTTCTGCCTGAGAAGGGGGTTGATCTAGAAGACCTCCAAGGTTCCTATCAACTCTTATTCTATATTCTATGTTATTTCTCCCATTTTGTTATTGCAGAGCAAATAAAAACATCAGCCCCTCCCTCCCAAAATTGAGTTAAATGAATAATTTATTTTTATTTTGCTTTAATATTTTAAAATGCAAGTCTTATAGTCAGGTCTTTTTTTCAATGATAATATAAAAAAATTGAAAGGTCATGAAAAAGTAAGTTTGTTTCTCCTTACCATTGTGTGGTTTATTTTTTTTTAATTTTTATGAAAATGGCACGTATTTCTAGACATGTAACCTGCAAAATTTCAGAATATTAAGAGCAGAGATAGAGTTATGATGAATTTATGGTTTTGCCTTCTGTTTCCCAAATGACAGATGACACTAAGCTGGCAGGAATAGCCAACACCCCAGAAGACAAGCTCAGGATCCAAAAAGATCTTGACAGACTTGAACAATGGGCCCTATCCAACAAATGAAATTTAATGTGGAGAAAAGCAAGGTTTTACACCTGGGCAGGAAAAACCAAAGGTACAAGTACAGATTAGGCGAAACCTGGCTCAAAAACAATAACTGTGAGAGGGACCTTGGAGTCCTAAATATGAGCCAGTAGTGTGTGGTAGCAGCCAAAAAAGCTAATACAATCCTTGGTTGTATAAACAGAGGCATAGAATAAAAATCACCTGAAGTATTAGTACAGCTTTGTAAAGGCTTAGTAAGGCCACACCTGAATACTGCATCCAGTTTTGGTCATCACATTACAAAAAGATGTTGAGACCTTGGAAAAAGTGCAAAGAAGAGCAACGAAGATGATTAAAGACCTGGAGATTAAAACGTATGAAGAACAGTTGCAGAATTTGGGTATGGTCAGTCTAGAGAAAAGAAGGACTAGAGGGGATATGATAGAATAGAATAGAGTTCTTTATTAGCCAAGTGTGGTTGGACACACAAGGAATTTGTCTCCGATGCATAAGCTCTCAGTGTACATACAAGTAATAGTGATAATTATGATTATAAACAACATGAAAATACATTCATCATAAATCGTAAAATACAACACTTCATCATAAATCATAAGATGCAACACTTAGTGATAATTATAGAGTACCAGCTAGGCAAACAACATAAATCATATTAGGATACTAAAAAACAATATAAATTGTAAGATACAAGCAACAAAGTTGTAGTCATAAGAAGATAAGAATAGGCAGTGCTTTTTTTCTTTAAAAAAAAAAAGTGCTGGAACTCACACATGTCATACAACCCGCCTTGCCTACCCTACCAGGTACCATCCAAAAAAGGTGCCGGAACTCTGTTCTGGGCGTTCTATGAGAAAAAAAGCCCTGAGGATAGGTAATAGGAAAGATGAGGAGTATCATAGTAATACAGCTTTACTAGGTAGTTTGACAGTGTTGTAGGAATTAGTTGTTAAGCAGAGTGATGGCATGGGGGGAAAAACTGTCCTTACGTCTAGTTGTTCTTGTGTCCATTGCCCTATAGCGTCGTCTTGAGGGAAGAAGTTAAAATAGTTTATGTCTAGGTTGTGAGGGATCTGTAGATATTTTCACAGCTGTCTTTCTTGCTTGTGCAGTATACAGGTCCTCAGTGGAAGGCAGGCTGGTAGCAATTGTTTTTTCTGCAGTTCTAACTATTCATTGAAGTCTGTGTCTGTCTTGTTTGGTTCCAGTTCTAAACCAGAGTTATAGAGGTGCAATTGATAGAGTCAATAATTCCTTGTAGAACTTATCAGCAGCTCTTTGGGCAGACTGAGCTTTCTGAGTTGGAGCAGGAAGAACATTCTTTGTTATGCTTTTTCAATGATATTTTTGATGTTAGGTGTCCATTTTAAATCTTGAGATATTATAGAACCTAGAAACTTGAAGGTCTCTACTATTGATACTGTGTTATCTAGTATTGTAAGAGGTGTTAGAATAATAGGGTTTCTCCTAAAATCTACTATCATTTCTACAATTTTGAGTGTGTTTAGTTCAAGATTGTTCTGGCTGCACCACAAGGCTAGTTGTTCAACCTCCTGTTTGTATACTGATTTGTCGTCTCAAATGAGGCCAATCACTGTTGTATCATCTGCAAACTTCAGTACTTTAACAGAGGGATCTTTTGAGATGCAGTCATTGGTATATAGAAGAGAAGTGGAGAGAGCACACAGCCCTGGGGAGCCCATTTGCTAATTGTACAGGTATCTGATGTGATTTTGCTAGCTTCACTTGGCTGCTTCCTATCTGTTAAAAAGCTTATGATCCACTTACAGGTGTGGTCAGGAATGGCTAGCTGATTTAGTTTAGTGAGAAGAATATCTGGAATGATGGTATTAAATGCCGAGCTGAAGTCTACAAAAAGGACCCTTGCATAGGTCTTTGGGGATTCAAGATGGTGTAAGATGTAGTGCAGAGCCATATTAACAGCATTATCTGCCGATCTATTTGCTCGCTAGGCAAATTACAAGGGGTCTAACAGTGGGTCTGTGATGGTTTTCAGGTGGGCCAGCACTAATCTTTCAAAGGTTTTCATAACTACGGATGTCAGAGCAACCGGTCTGTAATCATTCAGTTCTTTGATGGAGGGGTTTCTTTAGCACTGGGATGATAGTAGAGCATTTGAAGCAAGAAGGAATATAGCATATTTCTAGTGATTCATTAAAGATGCGGGTGAAGATGATGGCCAATTGGTCAGAACAAGCTTTCAAGCAAGAAGGAGTTATCTTATCTGGGCCTGGTGCTTTTCCAAGATTTTGTCTGTGAAATAGACCTTGCACATCATTTTCTGTTATCACCAGAGGTGGGAGACCCAAGGGGATGGGGTCAGTTGTAAGAGGTACGGCTGTTGTTGGTGTATCTGGATGAGAATAGTGGAGATAGGTGACAGTGGTTTCCTCTCAAACCTACAGTAAAACACATTCAGGTCGTCTGCCAGTTGTCGATTTCCTTCAGCATGGAGGTTTGCTGTAATCAGTGATATTTTTGTGAGTTTTCCACATATTTGCTGGTTCATTTGTTGAGAACTGATTCCTTAGCTTTTCAGAGTAGCTTCTTTTGCTGCTCTGATCTCCCTTGTTAATACATTTCTGGCCTGATTGTACAGCATTTTATCTTTTTTCCTGTAGGCTTCCTCTTTGGCACGATGTAGTTGCTTGAGTTTAGCTATGAGCCTAGGCTTATTGTTTCTGGTTGGCATTGATACTGATAGCAGTATTCCAGTATTTGAGAGGCTGCCACAAGGAGGAGGGGGTCAAATTTATTTTCCAAAGCACTAGAAGGCAAGACAAGAAACAGTGGATAGAAACTAATCAAGGAGAGAAGCAACTTGGAATTAAGGAGAAACTTCCTAACAGTGAGGACAATTAACCAGTGGAACAGCTTGCCTTCAGACGTTGTGGGTGCTTCATCACTGGAGGTTTTTAAGAAGAGACTGGAAGCCACTTGTCTGAAAAGGTATAGGGTCTCTTGCTTGAGCAGGGGGCTGGACTAGAAGACCTCCAACGTCCCTTCCAGCTCTATTCTGATTCTGAAATATATGGCAAATACAATGTAGTAGAGATAGTTGATGGATATTTAAAAGGATACTGTATAGTAACAAAGATAACCTGAAAGTGACTCCAGAAACTAATTCCATGAATTATGAATCATGATCAATTTATTTTATTCCTTTTACTTCTATTGGTATTTTGAGTCTTTCTGAAAAAACATAAGGGCTAATAAGAATTTGGGTTGCCCAAGAACAACATACAATTTTGCTTACATTTGTGCTTTACAGGAAACATCCAAGATCCAGATGAGCCAATCTTAGAATTTAGTTTAGGTAAGTAATTTTAAAATACTACTTTTATACTTGTTGCTTATATCAGAATTAGTTTATGTACAGGTTTAATAGTTATGTATAGCAAACCACGTTTTATAAGATCCTATGATATCTTCCTTAGAACTTTGTGATTTATCATTTTGGATTAATTACTAGGAAAACAGCCAGTTAAATTAAAACATTAAATAACCTAGCAAGAGCAGTGTAAACTATGTCATAAATGTATCAAAATTAACACAAACTGGGTAGCTTGTTATGCTAATAATCTGTTTCTGCACATACCATTTTTGATCAGTCTTCCTTTTTACACCTTTGTGTGAAATACGGCATCTGAACATACAGCCAGCACCAATTCTCTTTTTCTAATTAATCCTTGAAAATTACCCAACTCTAAGTTATAATTAAAGTTTAATTGTAATAGCATTTTTCACACTATTTATTTCATACTCAGTATCTTCTATTTTTCTCTCTCTCCTTTTCACTTGTTCTTTATTTCAGGCAAAAGCCTAGTGTTGTGTGGTATAACATGTATAGCAATAACAGCAATTATGATCAGTTATGATTGGTTCAGTCATTGTTTTGTCTTTAACAAGTGAAAATTTTCACTTCTTATATTTGTGAAATTTAGTTCCTTCAGTGTGTACAAACAATGCTATTGATTTTCCACAGCTTGCAGTGAACTGCTAACTCCATCACTAGATAGGAAGCCAAATTGTTTTGTAGCAGTGAGTGTAACTACACCACCTCAGGCATTTTGGACAAAGCATGCTCAAACAGAAATTATTGAGGTAGGTTATACTATTTTGCTGTCAATAACCTGATTAAATTCAGCTGGTATCAATTTAACTTTACTAATTTTTTTGTTGTTTCCATTACAGGGCACAAACAACCCCATCTTTCTAAGCAGCATTGCCTTTTTTCAAGATTCTCTTATTAATCAGATGACACAAATTAAACTTTCTATATATGATGTAAAAGATAGATCTCAGGGAACTGTAAGTTTAAAAATGTCTTCTTGCTGTACATCTGAACCAGAACTTGCATGCTTTTGATTCTGGAGGCCCTGGAGGTTCTTTAAAGACTGGCATTATTATAGTTACTAGCTATTATAAACACAATAGTCCGAGCCTGGTTTTGAAGATTATATTAAATATATTACCTTCCTTTGTTCAAAAATACATACAAATTTCCTCAAGAACCATACATTTTAATTAAATGAAAATCACCCCAGCTGCATTGTCGGGGATGCTTCTTCTTAATTCTAATGCTAGGATGGCATTTTCTTTGGGGTTAGCAGGTGGGAAAGGATATCTCCAACCTTAATTTGCTAATGAATCTTAAATGCCCCTGCTTATTACCATTATTGAGTAAAAAAAGAATGGTAGTATGCTGTATAATTAAATACAGTACATATGGTAGTTGGTGGGCTTTTTTAAAGGTGGAACTAAAGATTTCCTTGCTGTGACAGGAAGGAAGGGAATCTTTGGATCTGACTTCAGAAACAGAATTGTAATGGACTTTTCATGGTTCTTTCCTCTTCTCATTTTCATAAATGTTCTCCCTCTTTCTTTCTCTCTCATGTGTGTGTGAGTGTGTGAGTGTATAAAAAAGCAAAAAGCTTTTTTAATTGCTAAGCTTTCGTTAACAACCTGTTAACATCATCAGAGCAAAGGGCTAAATGACAAGGGAGTATGTGCATAAATTTACATAACATATATATATATATATATATATATATATATATATATATATACACACACACACACACACACACACACACACACACATATATGTGTGTTTGTGTGTGTGTGTGTGTATAGTGAATAAAATTTGATCACCAGGAAAAGTTAAAACGTTAAAAGTTTTAATGTAAAACAAAAGTTTTAAGTATAAAACGTTAAAAGTTTTAAAAAATTAGCAACCTAGCTTTCGTTGGCTCCTGCCAACTTCATCAGGGCGTACATAAATCAATGGGAGTAAACATTTATATGTGAGTTAACACCTGCGCTCAGCTTCTGGACCGCGTAATGGGCCCAGGTTGGCCAATCATAGCATTAGTTGTGATTGCTGCATAATTGAGTGACTCATCTACTTGTATCAAGCGTCCCTCATCAAAGTTAAAACAAGCTTCCGACTCTCCACTCATCCATATCCGTGGTCTAGGAGGATCCTCAATCTTATTCCAACTTGAGATGTCATCCCCACCACCAAGTCGTTTCCCCCTTCTCTCTTCCTTGGGATTTTCCATGAGTTCAGAGCCCTCACCCCTCTACACTATCCTGGTGTCTATCCTTAACATCGTGATGTTTGTTACTACGGAGCCTCACTCTAGATATTCTGCATGTGCTCTCACTGCATGGCTCTCCCCCACGCACCATTTTCCCAGCCTTTCCAGTCTCGTTACACTCCGTAACAGTTGTTCTCCCCTTTTTTGCCAACTCATTGCGGGGGCTGGACTGTAAATTCTGTTGACTGATCATCGAGGTAGTTAAAATCCCCAGAGATGGTTGCTTGTATACTTTAGTGAATTGGCTCTTCTCGCTCCTCCCCCAAGTGGGGTGCGATGTGGAGTGCAATGTGGATCCTGGTGCTGTAAATACGCCACCATTCACCCCGGCTAATTGTGTTGCCTTCTGAGATCGTGTAATCACTCCTTCAATAGAAGATTTACGGTAGCTCTCCCCTTGTATGTCTGTGGGGGGTGTGGTTAAACTGTCACTCCGGGCTCTCATTTCACTCCACGGAGGCAAGTGCATCTCCGATCGACTGATATGCAGGCTGGTCGTCACGAGGGTTCCTGGGGGGGGGACGGGGAAGATTCCTGATGCGTCGGAAATTGAATCCTTGGAACCGGCGGGTATTTCTTTCCATGACAATCGCATTTCCATTGTGACACCCCAGGGGGTCTCAGGTCGTCGACTGTTGTTTGCCTGGGTATTAGTCCTTCCCGATAACGGAGTGAAGTTATCATTATTGGGTTGCTGGTAGTGAAGTGAATGGGTGCGGGCTTCCCATGCTCTTAATGTAAAGTGTGCAGGGCGCAAGTCTATGTGTCGATTGATCGATTCCTCTTGTGAAAGCCATGCTTCTTTAAGCAACCTGCCGCTCTTTGTAACGTCGCTGGCAACCACAACCACACCCTCAAAATCATTTATGCCCAAAGTCCATCATGTGCGTTAGGATCTGGGAGTATTGCTCTCCTCTTCTTATGGCCAACTTATGCTCCTGGACCCTTGTTTTCACCCTCTTAGAGGTCTCACCCACGTAGTTAGAGGGGCAGTCCTTACAGTTGATTTTGTACACAACCCCCAATTTCTCTGCTGTGGGGAGTGGGTCTTTAGGCCTCATGACACATGAGCGCAATGTACGGCCAGGTTATGTGCCACCCTCACGTTGTGGGGTGCCAATAATCTGGCCGTAGCCTCTGAGACATTGCTGACATAGGGCAGGGTAACACGTGTCATCAGGGATGCTGGTGCCCCCATCTGCTGAGTATTAGGGAGTCTATAGAGTACACCATGGCGCTTAATAAACCTGGCTGGATACCCATTCAGCCTACAAATGTGAAAGAGATATTTCTTCTCTTCCACCTTGGCTCTGGCCGTATTGCAGTGGGAGTCAACCCTCTTAAAAAGAGTTCTAATGCAGCTAACTTTGTGGGCCACTGAGTGATTACTATGATAGTGCAGAATCCTATCAGTGTGTGTGGGTTTGCGGTAAACTCTGGTTCCCAGGGTGCCATCAGGTCAGCGGTGAATTAAAACGTCTAGGAAAGCCACTTTACCCTGGTGTTCTTCCTCCGCAGTGAACTTTTTTAAAAAAAACTTTTAACGTTTTATACTTAAAACTTTTGTTTTATATTAAAACTTTTAACGTTTTAACTTTTCCTGGTGATCAAATTTTATTCACAATATGCACACACCCAGGAATCATGCTTCTATTTTTAGTATTCTTTTATATATATGTTTTCGTAGATTTTCACGGGTATAGGTATGCAGGTAAAATTGCATACCTTGGCAATTCAGTTTTCAGGTGGTCTTTGTCAGCTAGGCATTTGGTTCTTGGCTACGGAGTTGATTTGTGCAGGGTGGTGATACAGCAACCCTCATATCCAGAACCAAGTGCCTAGCCAACAAAGACCACCTGAAAACTGAATTACACTCTCTCACAAATGTATTAATCTCCAACGGATTCCAAAGAAATACTATTACCAACCTAATCCAAAGGGAAACACCCCCCAAGAACCGAGACATAGAACAGTACAACGACATCGCCCTCCTCCCCTACATCAAAGGCACCACAGATAAAATCACCAACATTCTCCATAAACACAATATCAAGACAGCCTTCGGCACCGACCAAAAAATAGCTAACATCTTAAGAAACCCCAAAGACATTATCCAGCTAGAAAACCAAGAAGTCTATGAAATACCATGCAAAATCTGCCCATCCACATACATTGGACAAACTAATAGGAGAATAAATGCATGCATCACAGAACACAAGAACGCAGTAGAAAAGAAGAAAAAACTTCCTCCCTCTTCCAGCACCTTAAAGCCACAGGACATGAAATTGATTTTGAAGGAACCAAACTAATCTCCAAAACTGAACACCACAACAAGAGAATAATTATGGAAGCCATCAAAATAGAAAAACACCCCCACAACATGAATAAACGTGACGATACCTCCCGCCTACCAGACATCTTGAAACTAGCCCTAATCATCAAATGAGTCCTAGCCACGAAAACTGACACCGGACCCAGAACAACACAGTACTCCACTACCATTCACCCTCACCAGACCCAAACCCAAGCCCAAACCCATCCCTCAGACGAAATGCAATCACCATCCAGAAGCCAAGCACGAAGCCGAAAACACCAGCCTGAAGATGACGAATGAGACTTCGTCGAAACGTCGCCAAGACACTTCCAATTTGACGCGGGAGAAAACCCGAATAACCAAAGACCTACATATAAACACCCGCGAAAACCTCAGAAAAAATATGTATGTATGTATGTATGTGTGTGTATGTGTATGTATGTATGTATGTATATATATATATATATATATATATATATATATATATATATATATATATATATATATATATATATATGTAGGTCTTTGGTTATTCGGGTTTTCTCCCGCGTCAAATTGGAAGTGTCTTGGCGACGTTTTCGACGAAGTCCCATTCGTCATCTTCAGGCTGGTGTTTTCAGCTTCGTGCTTCGAGCAGCAATGTGTGGTCTTAGCTGTTTCTTCCTTTTAACTGCCAGTGGGGGTATGAACTGATTGGGTGGAAGCTTGGCTGTGTTCTGATTGGGTGGAGGTGTGTTCTGATTGGTTAGGGCAGTGTTTCTCAACTTTGACAATTTTAAGGCATGTGGTCTTCAACTCCCAGAATTCCACAGCCAGCATTGCTGGCTGTGGAATTCTGGGAGTTGAAGTCCACATACCTTAAAATTGTCAAGGTTGAGAAACACTGGGTTAGGGGCTTGGCTGTGCTCTGATTGGCTGGGGAGTTGGCTGTGCTCTGATTGGCTGGGGGGTTGAAGGAAGAAATAGCTAAGACCACACATTGCTGCTCGAAGCACAAAGCTGAAAACACCAGCCTGAAGATGACGAATGGGACTTCGTCAAAACGTCGCCAAGACACTTCCAATTTTACGCGGGAGAAAACCCGAATAACCAAAGACCTACATACAAACACCCGCGAAAACCTCAGAAAACGTATATATGTGTGTGTGTGTGTGTGTATGTGTGTGTGTTTACATTGTTTATACATGTATAATCTTAATACAGAGGTGGTCAAAAACAAGCCGTTTTAAATGTGAGTTGATATAATTTGCATTGGTTAGCAACACATAATCAAGAAGTAGCTGAATTATGGAGTCATGCATTGATTATAAAAATGAAAAATGAAAGCCTATTAGGTATTATTTGGTATAGATACCTATTACATACAACAATATATACCTATTAGGTATATTATATGCTTGGACCCTCCACTCATCATTTAAATTCTAAATTATGATTATCAGGTTCTATGGTTTGGTATGATTTCTGAATTGAGGGAGAACTGAGAGAGAAAGGGATTCCTCCATCAAATTATTGACAGTTTTACATGAAATATCAAAGCCAAGGAAATAGCCTTTCAAAACTAAAATTAAAAATGGTAATAATTTATTACTGAAATGTTTTTTTTTTCTTCAGATGTATTTATTGGGTTCTGTGATATTCACTGTACAGGATCTACTTAAGGAGAAATGTCACAGGCTGCACTTAACACTGAGGTTAGTATTTCGTCTTATTTCATATGAAAACAATCTGTATGCTAATTGAAGAAAGCCAGGCTATTAAATATTCTTTTTAATATGCTTTACCACTGACAGAATTATGAATCTGAAATTTTGGATTAGACTTGTTTTAACCAAGAATAAAATTGCATTCAAGAAATGGCATTTTTATAAACAACAGAATTTTGAGGCCCAGAGCAAATCCAGTTTTACCATTTTCCACAATTGTATCTCTGTTAATGAGAGGGGCACTTTGTGTCTTATGGAGCCTGATTGATTTATCCCAAGTAATTTGTACATTGTAGATCTGCTGAAAACGACCGTGTCGGGAACATTACAGCCATAGGATGGCAGATGGAAGAAAACACAGATGAAAGGCCTCCTGTGACCAGGTCTCCTGACACTATTAATGGAAGGGTGAGTTGGCTGTCTTTCTACCATATATCTAACTCTTCTTATTCTTCCCACCCCGTTCTCAGAGTCAATTTTTTCTCCTAAAGCAGTTCAGCCTTTTGTTGGATAAAAATACTGTGTTATGTATCTTAATGGAAGAAACTTGTGTAAGGCTACCATCTCAATTCCAAAAGTGAAAATGAGGAAAAAAGCTTACCGTACTTGCTTTCCTTATTGTGTTTTCAATAAATCTAAGACAACTTTTTCATGTTAGATGTAAATTATTGGTGATTTTTTTTAATTGTTTTCCTTTCAGGCAAATACAATATATCTTAGAAACTGAGGAAACTTAGGCAGGGCAATTTGCAACACTGGTGATAGGAATCTATTTGTCAAGTTTCTGAATTTCTAGTGTAGTGCCACCCCTGAAAGGACTGCTGAAGTCCGGGTTCTCCTGGCCTTCTTGGTCTGGCTGCCGGTTCACAGGGTCCCTTACTTCGGCACCTCTGCTTGACAGAGACACATGGTGCGGTGGTACTCAGTCTCTGTCGGCAGCAACTCACGTAAGGTGATGATGATCAGTCTCTCAGCAGGCAGCTCACGTGAGGTGATGGCGGTCAGTCTCTCTCAGCAAGCAGCTTACATGAGCTGATGATGGTCAGTCTCTGTCAGCAGCAGCTCATGTGAGATAGTGGTGATCAGTCTCTCACAGACAGTTCACGTGAGTTGATGGTGGTCAGTCTCTCAGTAGGCAGCTCATGTGAGATGATGGTCAGTCTCTGTCAATAGGCAGCTCACATCTCTGGCAGCAGCAGCTCATGTGAGATAATGGTGGTCAGTCTCTTGCAGGCAGCTCACATGAGGTGATGATGGTCAATCTCTCTCAGCAGCTCATAGGAACTTCCCTTATTCTATCTCCTCTTCTCTTTCTGGCCTTTCCCCACTGAAACCTCTTCTTCTCTATTCCCCCCTCTCTGTCAGGCTTGCCCCACAGAAACCTTTCTCTTTTCTCTTTCCTCTCCGTCCGGCTTGCCCCACCAAAAAGAATAAAAAAAACCCAGCCAACCTCCTCCCTCACTCTCCCTCTGTCCAGCTTGCCCAACCCAAAAAGAAAAAAAACTCCATCAACCTCCTACCTCGGTCTCCCTCCATCCAGCTTGCCCCACTGAAAAAGAATAAAATCAACCCAGCCAACCTCCTCCCTCATTCTCCCTCCGTCTGGCTTGCCCCACCGAAAAATCTCGATCCCCCAGCCAACCTCCTCTTCCTTTTTAATCCCTCCCCCTCTTCTCCCCGCCTCTTCCCTTTTGCTTCCGGGCGGCATCTCGTTGCCAGCCACAGCGGAGGCCACTGGAGCTCCAGACCTCCATGCTGAATTGGCAGAGCTCCAGCAGAGCCAACGCCGACCCTGCCCCAGCTCCTCTTTCCGCTACACTAGGTTGCATCTTAAGTTTGAGAATCTGGCTTAAATATAGCAATAGCACTTATAGTAATAGCACTTAGACTTATATACCACTTCACAGTAGTTTACAGCCCTCTCTAAGCAGTTTACAGAATCAGCATGTTGCCCCCAACAATCTGGGTCCTCATTTTACCAATCTTGGAAGGATGGAAGGCTGAGTCAACCCTGAGCCGGTGGGACTCGAACTGCCAAACTGCTGGCAGTCAACAGAAATAGCCTGCAGTACTGCATTCTAACCACTAACCAGAGCTCTTATAAATGATGATGCTTGATTACACTGTATTCATAATTCATGTATTTTTCTGTTTGCTTTTTTTTCAGACTGTGCTACCAGTTGATGAAAGTTTGACAGAGTCCTTAGGAATCCGATCCAAATATGCTTCCTTACGAAAAGATGCACTATTAAAATCTGGTAAATAGCTTCTTGAATGGATGAGTATTCTTTATCTTAATTTAGCTTTTTCCAGTTCATCCTCATGCCTGTTCTTCCATATATTATGTCAGTGTTTATGTACTCAGATTGACCAGACAAAGGATTCTGCCATTTGGCTTTGTGGAGAGAAGAGAATCAGTGAATATTAACATCATCAATGTTAGGGGGATTGATCATAGCTGACTTGGTGGAACGGAGTGAATAAATACTGAAGAGGAAAAGCTCCAAGCTGCATTATTTTTATGATTTTCAAATCTTTAAAGGTGTGCTACACCACAAATTTAACTATATAAAAGCATTTGGATATGTCTATGTCTGCATTATGATCATTCAGTTCATCTACATGCAGAAATGATTAAAATCATTGTTTGCATGCAGACTTCTATTCTAAGTAATAATATTTTTCCAGAATTTAACTGAAATCTCTTAGATTAAAAGGTGGGAGGGGAGGGAGACAGCAGAGTTTATTTCACCAGAAGTTGTTGGCCTAGATTGCAATCCAGATGAAAGTACTCATTGATCTACAGTACATCTGTCTATGCATAAGAGATCTCTGGGTTTTTTCGGTTGGCTGCAAGCTTTGTGCTATTTTGAATCTAAGAAGTGCCCTCATCTTTAGGAGGCCATGAGGGTGCAAAAGAAGCTGCAAGCTGAAGGAAACTGATCAGAAGCCTCTAATATGCTTAAAGCTTAGCATCACCGATGTTTCTGTCTTAAATATTATGTAATTAAAAAGGCATTTACTTATTGTGAATGCACATGAGTCTGTGTTGATTTTAGTTGTTGATTTTAGTTGTTGTTCCTGCTTACTTTCTGTTATGTCTTCCTTTTAACTTGAAACATACTGGGCCTCTGGTATCAAAGGCTGGTGCATGGATGGCAGAGTGAATAGAACTGTTCTTCAAACAATGAGTGCTCATAAGTCTACCTTTTGTCTCATCACTAAATGCATTATGCTAACTGAAAAACTGGGAAGACCTAAATATCGCAGTCTAAATATTCCTTTGTATGGTCATACAGTACTTAACAATCTTTTCAATATCAACTTGTGTGCATATTGTATCAAAACTCAACTTTCCCTTTCTGCTTTTTGTTGATAGGAATGTACCTTATTAGCTGTGTTTTTAATATGCTTGGAAGTGCTAAGCAGGTTTTAGCATTTCAAAGTTAATAGGGTTTCTGGCCTCTCTAAACAGTTTGTTAAATTAATGTGTTAGGGGAATGGAGTTTGCATGGCCTAATCGCAATGAAGTACTTACTTAAGTGTTTTAATATTTTAGTGTTTGGAGGTGCCATTTGTCGGATGTATCGTTTTCCTACCACTGATGGCAACCATCTGAGGATTTTGGAGCAAATGGGAGAGAGTATGCTCTCTTTACACATTCCCAGGCAATTTGTGAAATTGCTGCTAGAGGAAGATGCTGCAAGGTACAAATCATTGCAATAAAGTTTTAACTGTTGGTGCTAATGAGTAAATACAATATTAAGGCAAACAATTCAGCTTTGTACAATGCCTACAGTGATTAGCTGACACCTTTTATTTCTTTTCCTGATTGTGTCTATAAATATTTAACCATGCCTGTAAGCAATTGGTGGGCTGGAAAATAATGTAGCACAACACTTGTTTATTCTATAGTGTTACAGGATAGAAAAGGCAATGATAGCTCTGGTTTATGACATTTGACGGAACCTTGTTGGGAATAGTATTGGATCTTTTAATGGTGTTTAATACCATTGATACCATTGACCTTGGTATCCTTTGGATTGTTTTCAGAGTTGTAAACTGGGGGCACCATTCTGTGATTGTTTTATTCCTACCTCAGTGGTGACTAACAATCCATAGTCATGGGAATCACTTTTTGAGCCCTTGCAAACTGAAATGTTGAGAATTTTAGTGTTCTTATTTCTCCACGTTAATTAATATATACATGAGACTGACTGGAGAAATCATGTTATGATTCAGAGATCAAAGTTATGATTCAGGTCATCAGTATGGAGCTGATACCCAGTTTTATATTACCCATCAAGCTGAGCCAAAGATGTTGTAAAACTGGTACTTGAGGTCGGTGAGGATGTGGATGGGAAAAACAAGACTGGATTAAATCTCACCAGGATCATGTGATTTATATTTGGATGCTTGGCAACTGATTCATATTTATGATGGTCACAGTGCCCCAGGGTCGTGTGATCCCCTTTTGCAACCTTTTGTCAAGCAAAGTCAATGGCAGGGCTGCTGGTGGCCAAGTGCTAAAGCAGGACTTCCTTCCCTCCCTCCCTCCCTCCCTCCCTCCCTCCCTCCTTCCCTACCTCTCTCTTTCTCATTCCCATCTCCTTTTGAAGGAAGAATCTGAAACATCCCCCCCCCCATATTTTCCCTCTTCCATATATTTATCAAACAAGGAAAAGCCTCCAGAGACAGAAAAGACAAGCCGCTGAGTGAACTAGCTTTAAAAAGTGCATTCCCCTTTAAGAATTAGCTACTGTCTAGAAAGAAAAGTTAAGGAGCTGGCAGCCAGCACATAAGGAAGAAAAAAAATATAGTAAGTACTGGCTGCCGGCTAAGGCAGCCTCCCCAAAAGGCTCCATTCATAAGTAAAGGAATGCTACAGGCAAAATCCATTCAGGAGAAAACTACTTCAAAATCTCTTGCAGCAAAACGTACAGCTAACAATAGCAGAGCAATAGAATCTAACATGAAACATCAGCCATCAGCCAAGTAGAAATTGACAAACACTCCTTAAGAACCCAAAGCCCACATTGCACAAATCCCAGAACTTCAAAGTCACAAAAGACATAAGAATCCTTCCACTCTCCCAGTTTGTTGGTCAGCTGAAATGGCACTTTACATCTGCCATTAAACGTCTCCTCTTTCTTATTGCCATCTCCCTCCCTCTCTCTGTGCTCACTTCCAGCCAATGCTGCTTTTTTCATTCCTCATGAAGGGTGACCCCTCCCCCACTGTGTTTCTTGCCTGTTTGTTGCTGCCAGCACAGATGGCTGCCACAGAAGTTGTAGATCGACTCATGGCCAGCCTGCTTGATCTCCTCTCCTCTCTTCCCCACCCTCCTCCTTTCTCCTTCTACAGCTGACTCCACCTCCTCCCAAGGCTGCTTCTTTTTTTCTCTCTCCCTCTCCCACCCAAACTGCCTCCTTTTATAGTCTCTCCTGTCTCTGCCCCCTCCTCCTCCTTTCTCTTCTGGGTGAGCCGGAAGTGAGCCTGCGGCCTTTGCCTCACCCCAGCCACACTGCTGCTCCGGAGGACTCTCTCACAGTAAGTCCTGTGCTGCGCTGGGTCGTTCCCTCCCCCACTACACTTGGTTGGGTAGGGCTGCGTACCACCTGCCACGTGCTAATGTACCACAGGTGGTACGCATACCACCAGTTGAAAAGCCCTGTTGTAGAGGACAATTAGCCCTCCATTTACTTACTTACTTACTTACTGAAAAACAAGAAAGTCCAGTTGCCTCTTGAAAAACCAGCTTTGGGACAACCATGACCTGGATGACTTAGAATCTTTGCAGACATTTGATAGAAGTGTTTTTTAAAAAGCGAACAGAATACTATGTAATTAGGATATAAGAATTATAGAGACTTTAATAGTGAATCTATTATACTAGTAGAATAGAAAGGATGGGAAAAATCCATTTGATTTTCATTTTTATATGAAGCTGCCTTATCTGAGCTTTTCAAACCTTTATTTGACATGTGTATCAAAATCTTTTTTTCCCAGACTCTTGCAATATGGTGCAAAGGAGATACATGAGATGGCAGCCATATAAACATGATAAATAAATAAGCAAAAGTACAAGCAGAAACCATGTACTGCATTTTGTATAACCTTTTTTCTATTAAATAGTTGTGATGTTACTATATATGTTATCATCTATGCCCTCTATTATTTGTGTTTACATTGGAATTCACACTCTGGCAGAAAAAGCAACATTTACAAAAAAAAACTTACAAAATTACCTACTTTGTAAGTTAAGCACATTTATAAAAACATTATTTGGCTTGTGAGCATATGTTTGGAAATGTGAGAACATAATTTGAAAATCTTATAAATGCTTTTAGGCCTAATTCTACTTCACATATTTAGAAAAAAAGCTATGTATTACATCTCCTTAATGAAGGTAGAGATATTGACAGTTCTTCGGAAGGTTTTATTGCATTTGTGCTATTCAGTGTTTACAAATGGAGATAACCAGTTTTCAGATATTAGAGGGAATCCCCCATCCTTATACAAAAAATGAAAATAAGACATCTTCTCCCATCATTGTATTTCCACATTTAGAAAATTTTGCTTGACTAAATTCTGTTCTAAAGCTGTTATTGGCATGGAAACGTCAGAAATTTCACTTGATATCCATCAGTTTCACTCAATACTGGGAAAATGGAATAATTAAACAGTTAAGGATATGAACGTGGTTAATATTTGACCTTTCTCCATGTAAGGACAAAGTAATTTATGAAAAATATTTATGAGAATAATGGCTCTTTAACATATGCTTCAAAAAAGCTCAAAATGTATTCTAATTAAAATGAAATGTTTAAATAGTTCATGGTTAGGCTTGAATAGATAGTTTTAAAAGGTGAGAAGATATATTGTTTTTCATTTAGTATACAGCTGATCTAATAGTATTTCATTGTCTTTGGATGTTTTGGTAGGATTTGTGAACTTGAAGAACTGGGAGAGCTGTCCCCTTGCTGGGAAAGTCTTCGTCGGCAAATAGTCACTCAGTACCAAACAATTATTCTGACCTATCAGGACAACCTGACAAATCTTCATCAGTATAAAGGTAGATTCTTCAGACCTATTTTTATAATAGGTTTCGAAATCATCAACTGTGGATATTGTCACCTTTTCATTAGAAGATTGCTGTTTAAATGTACTCTTCATACAGACACAATTGCATACATTCATAGTAACTTTTCTGTTTGCTTATATAATTTGGTTTCATCAGGATGGGTATAGGAGGGAATGTGGAATCTTGTTTACTATCCATACCATACAAACTAGCTTTCTTTGTCCAGGAAGTTTGGAAGTGGATATAGAAGAAGAATTCTATAAATACAAGGGCAGTTTATGCATTCAGTATGAATAAAAGGCAATAAAAGCACAAAGTAAAATAGTAATGGATCTAGTTGCTACAAAAAAAATCACTAAAACATTTTGAAATGCCATTAAAAGCAAAAGAACAGCAGATATCTTTATGTCAAAAATAAATCAGAAATGAGTCTGTATATACACTAAGGTAGAGGAAAAACAGAAATAGTACTATGAATTATACTGGGATTTGTAGCTTACAAATAAATGAACAATTTTTTTAAAAAATGAACAATTTGTCTTACTTTTTTAAATTGCATTTTCTTATTTGGGTTTTTGCGTGGAATTCTAATCTTTAAACAACTATACCTTTCTGCTAAATTAGATAGAGCAGGAACAGCTACATGAATATCTTTACAATATTGGACTTCTTAAATTTTATTTAAGAAAAGAGGAATACAAGTAAGGGATGCTGAACATTATAATAAAGTCTACTACTTTTCATTCTACTGGCAGTTTTAAACACGCTTTGCCCATTAAAACCACTTCCAGTATTGGAGCGCAGTTGAAGAAGAAATGGTTGGACAAAATACCGTAACTGTGAGGAGTGATTTGGACTTGCCATTAATGTGGCTCTTTTGTCATTGCAATAAAAGTCCAGATTTTAAAAAGTCAGGTTTGTATATACTGGGACAAAGTTTTTTGGCATCTGGCTTCTGTATACCACCACACTGAATTTGAAATAAAACACTCAAGACGTGAGTGCAGTGAAGACTTTCAGCTTTAATTCAAGGACTTTGACAAAAATGTTTTTATTGGTAACTTCTAGGCAAGGCTTAGTTTAAAGTCTTCTGATTGAACACAAAATACTGGAATGGGGCTGAATATTCCCAAACCTCCATCATTGTCCCAATATATATAGACCCGAGTCTATGTTGTTCTTGACATTTAGCCATTAATTATACAAAGTGATGGATGTTAGGTCTGATTTGTCATTTAATTGGTGATTTTGAAGATATTTTCAAATTTTATTTATTTATTTGAGTTTGTTAGCTATCTACCTCAATAACATAGGGGGACATGCATCATATGACTTAAAACAATTTAAAATAATTAAAGGAATACAAAATAAATATATATGGCACCAAGTAAAACTATTACTACGGAGCCAAATACAGCCAGAACCCTACCATACTTGGGGCCCTAGATCCTGGGCCTACAACCAAGTATTCATGACCTTACAAAAAGCCAAGAGGGTTGGGGTCATCCTCCTATCTGAAGGGAGAATATTCCAGGGGCAGGGGCTATGGCAGAGAAGGCACATCTCCAAATTGATAGCTTTTGCCAGGTTCATGAAAACATTTGTCCTAAAATAAAGGGAAAGCAGCAATAACAAAGGAAAATCAAGAGATGGAAAGGCTTTGCAGAATGAAGCTTAAAAACAACACATCAAGGATGGATGAGTATTGTGGCAAAGAAATGCTTTGTTTGCATAAGCTTTAGCAACATTTTATAATGTTAACATTTCCAAATAAATGACAATAAAATGGTATGTCCTGTTAGAAGGATTCACAGCACAAAAGCATTATATTTTTACATTTAAATTTTACAAATTTCATACTTTCAACTTAGTCCTTTAAAAGCAATTTTCACATTGCTTTTAAAGGACCATGTTGAAAATATGAAATTTGGCAAATCTTTCCATTTATTCTCTAAATATTTAAGCCTTTAAGATGTAGCATTGCTATTATGTCTGAATATTTTTTGAAAAAGTCTTAAAGTATTCTAAAATTATCTTCAGGCTTTTACCATCAATTTTACAAAAATATTCTGCATGTCTGTAGTCCAAAATGCTCTATAGACAGAACTAAAACAGTATCTTAATGGTATATTTTCTCTATTTGCTTTCTTGAACATATCAGTTACATTTATTTTCCATCAGAAAGGTATATTGGAAATTCTTAGATAATTGTTTAATCCGAAAAGAACCATAGGCCATATTTCTATTGTATTTCAAGTTTGGAAAACATCAGAGAATGAACTATGACCGCAATGAACAATTCAATGAATACAAGCACAATCACTAGCACTGATGATATTACCTAGTTTGGGTAATGAAACAAACAACCAAGCTCAGAAACCACCAAAGACTCCATAATTCAACCTTCTTTTCTACTGGAAACATAATTATGTAATTTGAGAGACTGTAATGGTGGTTATTAGCTACAACATCCTGAAGCAAGTCTACCTTCTTTTAAACAAAAAATAGTTTTGAACAAGTACCACCGGAACAGTTTCCCATGGGGATTGGAATTGGAAGCATGACTATTCATTCTGACTGTAATTAAATAAAGGAATTACAATTGCTGATCTATTTATCATTTTATTATTGTTCTTTATGGTCACTTTTCTATTCAATAATTATATTTCTGGGAAGTGAATATACAAAAATTTATGTTTTTTGATTCATTTCTCCAGGACCATCATTCAAAGCAAGTAGTCTGAAGGGTGATAAAAAGCTTGAATTCATGCCTACAAATTTACACATACAACGAATGAGAGTTCAGGATGATGCGGGATCAGGTATTGTTATGCTTCTTAATACATTTAAAACATATTAGCAAGATCAGTTCTCCATGTGTGAATCTTTATTTTTCATTAGCAGCATGCTACATACAAGTTTCAGAAGAAGAAAAGTCTTTAGAGCCTAATGAAAATTAAGTATCTGGTATATTTCTGAAATTGAAGGATCAAGAAATGGAATATGTGCTTGACCGGCTAAATCCCTAAGTATGCTTTGTGCTGTGGCAGAGCCCACTTGTTGTTTCTTTTTTTTAGAGAAAACATATTTTTTCTGGTCTTATTCTTTTTTTGCTCATGCAAATTAGGTGGCCTTTGTTCTTGATTATCTTGGTAGTAGGGTAAAGAAAATGAGAGAGTTGGAAAAGGTTTTATATTTTGTTTAGAGGTTTGAAGCATATTGGATATTTGCTGGTTAGAACAAGTGGCTTGTGCTATAAAATGATGAATGAAGAAGGTTGCGAACTTTTAACCACCAAGGAATGGACACCTGTACTTGGTAGGAAATCTTGGGATTTTAATTGAGAGGCATTGATACTACTTGGCATTTTCCTCAGCAGTGATACTAACTGTGGCTTTCTGTGCCATTTACAAATTATATTATTCTGCTTTTCATTGGAGAGAAATGGAACTGCACTATTTTAACACATCTTTTTACAGTATAACAAAATTGAAATTTTTGCCAGGGTAGGCCTCTAAAAATTGTGAGTACTTTCCAATGGAAGAAAATGATTATCTTTGCAAAGAAATGTTCATGTGTAGCCATCTTCTCCATTGAGCACCTTACAGAGAAGTACAGGCAATTTAGAATATCTATCATTAGCTGTTGACTTTCTTCATGAAATAATATAAATTTCTCTTACGTAATTCTCAGACCAAATGAAGAATGTTCTAGTAGTTACATTCTTGGCAGGTATTGTTGAACACAGGGAGACTGTCTACATGACTAGGCATCTACTCAGTAATCCGTTCTCACATCTTATGGATGTGTGTTTCCAGTGATATCCTGTGGCCTATAACAAAAATGGGATTGCTGTTTAATAGAAAGGAAAGTCTTACAGCTCATATATTATTGGATCCTGATATAATTGATATAAAGAATTTCCTGTGCTAGAAATAACTGATGCAGGAATGTCACTTTGTACTAGATTTAAAGATAACTTAATGCAATTCTCAGAATTTCTAAAGAATGTATAAGCTTTATAGAGAGTGTTGACTCTTTAAAATATGGTTGTTGGTTTCTTTGCATATTTGCATTCTAAGACAAGATGACAGGAATTCTCACTGCATCTTTTTCCCTGTCATTTGTAATGTTTAGATGAGAATTATGACATTGTAACTATAGGAGCACCAGCAGCTCACTGCCAGGGCTTTAAATCTGGAGGTCTGCGGAAAAAGCTGCATAAATTTGAAGATGCAAAAAGACAGTAAGTGGCATGTTGAAAGCACATCTTTTTGGTGACTCTAGTTTTGTAAAAAAAAAAAAAAAACAATGCCATTCCTTCTTTTCTGTTTTATCCACACATAGAAAGTTTCAACCAAATTAGCAATTAGAGATGCCTTATGTGAAGAATTTAGAAGAATGATTTCCCTTTTTAAATCAATGTATTTCAGCTTTCAGTAGATTTTTCTGTTTAATCACATATAACAACTTATGAACCATGCATTGGTGCTTGGTAGGGTTAGGGACTTCCCTTGAAATTTTGTGCAAGACTCTTTGATCTGAGTTGCTAAATTTTGAAAGAGTTCTTCCTTCCATGTCCCTCTGTGTTCCTGGTTCTGTTGTTTTACCACCACCACCCTATTTGAAGATCTTTTGGATACTACCTCTAGAGGGGGAAGCATGTTGGTGACCTTGTCTGGATTTAGAAATAAGGAGGATTGGTTTTTTAGTACTTGAATGAGTGACTGGCCAGACAGAACCAGACTGTAGGCTAGACCAGGAATTTTTCTTTTAAGAGAAACATTTTTGAAGAAGGCAAAGTTAAATAGTTTCTTATTATTATTCAAGAGCAGAACGAACCTTCTCTTCCTTTACTTTTCTCCTTTTTTGCTATTGAGATGAATGATTCCATGTTTATTTATTTTATTTTTGCAATTTTGAGGCCTGATGATTCTGAGTGGCTTACAATTAAAAAAGAAAGAAAAACAAACAAAAAAACTACAGATTCATGTTACCATGTGCAAGCTGTTGTTTGCATGGTTCTAATCCTGTGAACTGCTCCCAATAGAAACTATAATATAAAACTGAAATGGTGTATGCCCATAAGAAAAGAGAGGAAGGAAAGTCTAAAACACCTGTAGTCAGGTGTTATGAGATGTATAAAGCATTCCCATATGATGTCATTCAGAGGTGGTGGCTCTAGTAGTCAAGTGGAGGTCAAGTGGATAACCTTAATAGTTGGGAGGTCAAGTGGATAACCTCAATAGTTGGGAAGCTTTCATAACTGAATTTCATATATGAAATTATTTGAAAGTTGAAAACACTCTTATGCAATTTCCCTACAGATGGAGAGGAATTTAAAGGATGCAGCAGTGGGTTCAAAACAGGTCACATGGATTTTCACAGATTTGAAATAAGTGCTAGCTGTTGCAGTGAGCAGAGGAATTAATTTAGCCTTTAATTTTATCTTTTTGGATATCAGAGATTTTAACCAACTATAAGAACATGCAAGCACTGAAATCACTAAGCTTGTCAAACATTACTAACCTGCAGATTCTGTTAAAGTTCAGAGTACCTTTGCTAAAGAAGGTTGAAAAAAAATATCCTGGAAGATTCTTAGAGGCTTAAATGCCATATTGTATCATGAATATATCATTTTCTATTATTTTCAGGAGTAGAGTCATCCTGCCTTAGCTATATTGCCTTTATATTCTTAATTTAAAAATAGGGAATTCGCAGGAACAAAATAGTTGGACACTTCTAGACTGATGTTTTGTTGCTTTAAATGCTGCCAAATCAGATATAGTTTTCCACTCACAAAACTTGTCCAATAAATAATGATTTTCAAGTAAGTCAGAATTAAATTTAGGCTGACACCTTCTATCTGCACTTTATTTTAGTTTCATATCTTAAATCACTGCTTATTTTTAGTCTGTGTTACTTGCACCACTTTTAATAATAGCTACATCTACCAAGCAATGGGTAAATTTTCCCTTAGAAGGATCTTATTTAGAAAAATCACAATGTACCTATTATTTGATAATTCTTCAAGTAACTTGGTTGCCATATTAATTGCTTCTATTAAAAATAATCAATATAGCTTTTTAGATAAGCTATGCAGATCTGTCTGCATATTTTGTCTTTTTGACATCTTGTAATATATATATATCATTTTTGTATTCCTATGGTACATAGAGGGCAGTGTGACCATTTTTCATATCCAGTGAAATTCTATTCTGAGATCAGTTCTTTGTTATGGTCAATGACCAGAATTCCATTTAGAAAGCTAAAAATTATTTTTTTAAAAAATGAAAGTAGATAAACTAACAATAGCGAAATTATTAGTAAGATTCATTACAGCAGGATTTACAAACATAAAATGTGACTATATCCAAAGAATCATATTGATAGGCTAGTAGCAATTGTACAAAATATAATTCTGAATATTTGTTTGAAATACAGGTATCAGCATTGAACCAGGGTGGAGCTTATATGTTGACTGTTAATTTTATATTTGTTCTTTTTTCTTTTCATTTTTTTGGGTCTTGTGTGTAATTCTAGTTTTGTTGTTTTTATTCTGTAGTTTGTATCATATATATATATATATTAAAAATTACATTAAAAATTGAAGAATAGCGATTCCTGGGTACATACATTTCAGTAAAAAAGGAAGCGATCACCAGGAAATAAAACACCAAGGTTTTAATAAATAAAATCAAGCTTTCGATGGCTAACATCTGCCATCATCGTCAGGATACAAGCCAGTTAGTGAGGAAACCTGCTTATAAGCATAGCCACACCTAAACTCTACGCATGGACCTTGTAACAGGTCCAAGCCAACTAATCCTTACTTCACTTACAGCCTTCAGTGATTCTTTCTTTTAGCTCTTACTTACATCCACCTAGCTTTCAATGGCTAGCACCTGCCATCATTGTCAGAATACAAGCTAGCTAGTGAGGAAACCTGCTTATAAGCATAGCCACTCCTAAACTCTACGCATGGACCTTGTAACAGGTCCAGGCCGACTAACCCTTGCTTCACTTACAGCCTTCAGTGATTCTTTCTTATAGCTCTTACTTACATCCACACAACCACCCACTTCCTCCCTCCCTTTAGTTCCTGAGTCATATAGGCAACGTGTGTTTCTCAAAATTAAAGGGTCCTCTGCACTATTGAGTTGATTCTTCTTCCTGTGTTCCTTGGGACGTTTCTCTCCTCCACTCCTCCGGCACGCATCGCACTCATTTGCATTCTTCAATCCTGTCACTCCTTCAATCCCCCCACAATCCTTGCCACCAATCTCATCCACACTTTTATTTCCCCCCACTGTTGCCAGCATATCGCATCCTCCGTGCTCCTCCTTCGTGCCACCCGATGCAACTCTCAATCCGGTTGCCTCTCTTTCAGTCTTCCGTAACGCCGCTCTCCGGGAGCACGTGACCACCCCCATAATGGGGCGGCTGTAAGTATTGATCTTCTGTACATCCATTGAAGGCCTGTCTCTGTCTCGGTGGCTCTGATCGGTGTGGCCGCATAGCAAAGGTGTTATTCTGCCATCGCTCATAGTAGGTGTTGCCTTTTTTGAATTCCTATCCATTTCCAAGGCACCGGCCACCAGGTGCGTTGTAGCGGGGGCACCATTGGGGACAGTGGAGCCGATATAGTCACTGGGGTAGCGAGTTTGTTTTGTGTTAATTGGGACACTTGTTGTTCTTATTCTTGAGTATTGGGTACAATGCAAGGAGGTGTCTGGGGCATCCGAGGATGGGCTACTAATATCAACAAATTTCTTAATTAATGGCGGATGTACACACGAATCATTAACTAAAGGGGGTCTAGATTGTAGATGTCTCTCTTCTTTGTTGTCAGTTTCATCTAATGGACACCCAGAGTTTTTGTTACTCAGATGTTTTTTCCCAGGTCGTCTACGCATTTCCCACGCCTTCATGGTCTGATATGCCGGGCGTAGGTCCACATGTCGATTGATTGACATGCTGTCTGAAAACCAGGCTTCTTTGAGTAACCTACCACTCTTGGAGGTGTCACTGGCAACCACCCTTACGTCGTCAAAATTAAATTTATGACCAAACTCCTCCATGTGAGTCAGTATTTGGGAGTACTGCTCACCTCTTCTTATTGCCAGCTTGTGTTCCTGCATTCTTGTTCCGACCCTTTTGGAAGTTTCTCCCACATAATTGCCTGGACAGTCATTACAGTTGATCCTGTAAACGACTCCAGATCTCTCAACTATGGGGAGTGGGTCCTTTGGTCTCATAATGCAGGAACGCAACGTCCGGTCAGGTCTATGTGCAACCCTTACACCATAGGGTGCCAATAGTCTGGTGGTGGCTTCCGAGACGTTGCTAATGTAAGGGAGGGTAATACGAGTCGTCTGTGATGGTACCATCCCACTTGATGGATTTTGGGATGGTTTGGACAGAGTACTGTGGCGTCTGATGAATTTCATGGGGTACCCATTGTACCTACAGAGACGGAGGAGATGTTTTCTTTCCTCCGTCCTAGCTTCGGCTGTACTGCAGTGGGAATCCACCCTCTTAAAGAGGGTTCTAATACAGCTGACTTTGTGGGCCACCGGGTGATTGCTATTGTAGTGCAAAATTCTATCGGTGTGCGTGGGTTTGCGATAGACCCGGGTAGTTAAGGTCCCATCTGGCTGGCGTTGGACTAAGACATCAAGAAATGCCAGCCTACCCTGATACTCCTCCTCCTCCGTAAATTGCAGGTCCATGCACACCGAATTAAGTGTGTCCACAAAGTCAGCTTTTTGACTCCTCTTAATTATGACGAACGTGTCGTCAACGTAACGGGCCCAGAACTTTGGGCAGTATTGGGTCATCGCTACGTGTTCCAACTGCTGCAGTACAGCCTCAGCAATAACACTCGAAATAGGTGACACCATGGGGGTGCCCTTTATTTGCTCATACATTGTGCCCTGAAACGTGAAATATGTTTTGAGGCAAAGGACTAGAAGGTCCACAAGGTCATCAGAGCGGAGTGAATCCTGGTAATGTCCTGGTCCTCTGCGGCTCAAAAGATCTTTGATCGTCGCAATGGCCAGGTCCTGTGGGATAGAGGTGAAGAGGGAGATGACGTCAAACGACACCATCACCTCGTCATCCTCTATCCTCAAAGTTCTTATCCTACTCAGGAATTCCTCCGCAGATCTTACCGTGGTCTGGTTGTCTGCGACCAGGTGGCCAATGCGGTGGCTTAGCCATTTGGCCAATTCTGATGTGGGGGTA